AAACTTCATTAGCACTATTCTTTTTACCGATGAAGCAGGGTTTACCAAAAATAGTATTGTAAATTTACATAACTCGCATGTATGGGCTGATGAAAACCCTCATGCCACTGTTGTTCATCATTATCAACATCAGTTCCAATCAATTAATGTTTGGGCAGGAATAATCAACAATTTTTTGATTGGAACATACGTATTGCCGCCACGATTGAATGGTGAACTTTATTTACAGTTCCTTCAGAACGCTTTTCTGGATTTCAGTAGAGAATTTGCCACTTGAAAACCGCCGAAGCATGTATTTTATGCATGATGGAGCCCGACCTCATTTTAGCGTCGCTGTACGGGACCACCTGAATAACGTCTATCGAAACCGTCGGATATGCAGAGCAGGTCCAATTGCTTGGTCTCCCGACCTAACGACAATGGATTTTTACCTGTGTGGTCTTCTCAAAACCTTAGTGTATTTCTCTCCGGTTGATACTATGGAGGAATTTTTACAGAGAATCATATTTTATTGTGGTGTGATAAGGAACAATGCTGGTTGTTGTGGCGAGTACAGCAGTCCTTTATTCGTCGGGCCCGCGAGTGTATCAAAGTTCACGGAGCACATGTTGAACCCACTTATAAAGTTTTTAATTATTTCTAATTAGCGTATTTAGGTTCAATCGTTACAAGCTTTAGTGAGTTCATGTTGAAACATAATACATAAGTTGCATTTTTGAATTTACCAATTTGAAATTAGCTAATTCTGAAAGTTTAATTTTTTAATAAAAATAAAACATTCTTTTATTTTTTTTTCTAGGAAACGGTTCATTTTATCGACAATGAAGAAGAGTACCTTTTCTTTAGCTTATTGTTCATAAACTCCTTATCATACAGGGTGTTAAAAATGTAAGCATTAAAATGTACAACCTAGTCCGCCTCTGGTAAACTAAACAAGTTAATTATGTTTTAAGGGCAGTATTTTAAGAGGTTCTTACTACTGTTTATCATATTAAATTTTAATTAAATTATATTACGTAGTTTGAAAGTTATTTAAGAAAAATATTGATTTCCAATGGCGTCCTTTTGGAGGCCGTATCTCCGTAGGGAGGGCCGCTAGGAAAAAAAAAATATGGGAAATTGTGATCATATTTTTTAATGTTCTATCTGAATCCGAGAGACCTCCCACATTTTCCCGGACAATGTGTTTAATAGGAGATCTATAAAAAAAACTGCCTAATCTGCAATTGTAAATAAAGGATATTGGGGTCTATTCTGTAAAAATTTGGTTAAAATTAACCGATTTATAAAAATAACCGGATGTTATTTTTTATTCTGTATTATTTGGTGGCCGTCATAAGATATAATAAAGTTGGGATAGGTAACTCGAAAACTGAATTCCATCATAATTTGATATCAGTGAAGACATTTTTGATAAACAAAAATTAAAATACATAAATTTATAAAAATAATGTATTTGAAATAAAATCTCGTGGAACATTTTTTCTGAAAATAAAACTAGTAAAATTAAAATTTTAAAAGCTTCCATAGTCAAAAATAAATACATAAATCTGTCTTGTTTTCTCTAACAATTAATAAATCTAATACTTCTCTACAACAAATATTTATTACTAAATTTACTTCATATTAAAACTATTATATGTATTTAACTTTTAATATATTATACTAGATATACAATATTCATATAACACAATTTAAACTTACAAATATATTAAATAAAAAATGGTTAAAAAAAACAATCATTTAAAATAAATACGAATGTATATAGTATAATAGGAACCGAATTCTTAAAATCGAGCAATTACTGGTATGTTTTTTAATTAACACTGATTTTCCTAAAAACAGTAAGAAAGTGCATGCACATAAACAAGGCGAGCATCTAGACAATGCCAAAATAAAAAAAGCAGTCGTTAATGCAATTGGAGTCTATTACAAAATAGAAAATAATTCAGCAAATAATGAAAAAAATGTGGTTTAAAAAAGGATGTAAAACAATAGTGCTAACTATAGCTACCATTAAAAGAAAATAATCTCATGATTGACAATCAAAAAATGTTTAAATAAAACTAAAGACGATTATTTTATTAAAAATATTTTTGATTCATAAGGATTTTATAAATGAACATTAAAGTAACTAATTTTTGTATAAAAAAATAGAAATTCGCATGGTAATAATTATAAGTCAAGAAAAAATAACAGTTTGAGAAATGTTCTTTTAATAAAAAGATTCATTGTAAGGCACAGCATTTAGATGAAAAATAATCTTACTTCAAGCTTAAGCTGTACCTATAAGGTGACTTTCTCGCTAGTCAGATATGGGATTATTTTTAAGACATTCCATTGCTTAATAAATGTAGCAGATAATTTGTCTGCAAACAAGTATTTTTAATTCTAAAAATCAATAATCGTTACAAATATAGTATTAACTCCCCAATCTTCTTATAGATAGAATTAAAACAAACTTACTGCTTAGCAACAGAGAAGCACAAAATTATAGCTAGACTTAAATTTTATATCTATATTAAAACAATTAATTAATCCACGTGATAAATAAGATAATACCTTAAAAAAACAGTAAGAAAATGTAATCACGTTGACTAAAAGTTAAAGTAGGTGATATTCAAAGTTTACCATATTTTAAAATTGTGTACACTAAAAGTTAAAATAAATGACCTGACCCACGCGCAACAAGTTATGGCCTTCAATGGACATTAATATAATTTCTTTTTTCTTTTATTATTTACATTGTACATGTTATGTCTCAATAAATAATTATTATATTAACCTAATTAAGAGAAACGACACCAAAATCTATTATACAAAGATATAATTAATTTGACATTTTCGAGTAATTTGATGTAATGCAGGTATCTTAAAAATTTCCAAAGAAAATAAATCATTACAATAACATACCTAATGATATAAAAACATTACATACCTAAATTTATTTAATAGAAAATGAATCAAATGCTATTAGACATAACTCCCTTAGAGGAGTTTTATTCACATGTATCAAACTGTTTAATAATTCGAGCATTTGTGGAATGTGATGAAATTGATAGACTTTAAAAGCAATAATAAATTTTTTATGGGTTCAGCCAATTGAATTACTACTAATGTACTGGTAAGTGATAACATAAATGTTTAGCTAATGCTCTAAGTATAAGAGAGCGAACCATTCGAAAAATTAAATCGGATACGTCACAAGAGTATTTTCTTTTAAACAGATGACTTAAATTTCTGAATTTTCTTAAAGAAGGAAAACATAAACATTTAATGTGTACCTACTAATCATACAGTGTTTTTTAAAAACAATCATTATATAATTAACTGTATTTTTATAGAAAATACAAATCAAGATTTTTTACAAAAAGATCAATGCACTTTTCTGCTGAACTAGATTTATAAGACACTTGTAGAATGTGTAAATTGGTCCCTGCATATCGGTGTAATAACAGAACTTCAAAAGCAATTCTATAACTCAACTTTTTATGATTAATACACATCCTACAACTCCCTAACTTAGACGGAAATATGAAAAGATATTACAAATTATTATTATTATTAAAATTATACAAAATAAATAAAATACAAAAACATCAATCTTACCAACTTAAATTAAAATCTCAATAATAGTTAAAAAATATCAAAAAACAAAATTAAAATAAACAAGAGCCTAAATACCATGTTTTCAAGGTGTTGGGTGATTTGGGAAGTCTTTGAGTATACTCCCAAAGTCCCAATTAATAAAAAAAACCATTCTTGTTAAAGAAATATTATTAATAAGAAGTTTCATTAATTAAAGAAGCTCCAAATTATAATAAGGCACTGAAAATCGAGATCCATACAAATAAAGTATACAGATTCCCCTTAAATTTTTATTGGGTATAGGGCAAAACTATAAAGAGCAAAAGAAAGAAGACTATTCATATGAAGCGAGAATAAGAGGAAGCAGAAGTAGGGCGCTGGCAATAGATTCTGGTTTTCGTTTTAAAATAACTAGGTATTAATATGTTGAACGTTATTAATTTATACGACTTGTGAAAAAATACAAATAGTGAAGTGGTACTATGGGGGTCATTCCCTTCAAAATATAAAATTTATTTGCAATTGCATTTGAAAATAGGAAAATTCCTACGAATAATGCAATTCGTGCAATTATAACAAAATTTTATAATTTTGGCTGACATAATGATGGAAAAAACAAGTCAAAATAGGAATTTTTTTGAAAAATATTTTATTTCTTCTTTCACTATCCATAGAAAACATAATCCATCAGTTTTACGCTATTGGTCACAGGCGTAGCTGTACTCATACAATATTCGCAAAAACTGAATGTCTGGGCGGAAATCCAAGGGAATAATGTCATCGGTCCTTTTTTCATTCAGGGAAACTGAATGCCCAGAAGTATTTACAACTACTTAAAAATGACATTATTTCTGCCGTCAGAAATGGCAACAAATGCATAGTGCCCAACTGTACCATGTTGCCACTATGGCAACATGTTTATAAAACGCACAATGCTGCTTTCATGGGTCAGTATAATTTCATTGATAGTGTTTTAGCCCTGGTATATTCAAATTTTGTAGTGGGAGTAAATTTCTGATTGGTACTCCCAAGATCATGCTGGTTATAAATAAATAACTATTGTTTTTTTGCATTATAATAGAATATTATTTGTTTTCTTTGCCGTTTATAATCCTATCTTTGTATCATAAGTAAATACATACCTAAAAACAGAATGACCACCACGGTCGCCAGCCTTAGCGCCGCTTGATTTTTATTTTTGAGGAATGCTTAAAAGCAATTTATACAGGTTTGTGTTCAAACGAGCTACCAACTTGGATGGATTACGTCAAAAAATTATACAGTTCAGTGCTCAAATCACACCCAATCAACTCAGTGCTATGATATTATTATTGCATAATACGTTGGATTTTTGTTTAGCCCAAACTGCATGGTGGTTTCTTCGAACTACCATTAATTGTTTTTATTTGATATAAATGTTTAATTTTGAATTATTTTTTGTTTATTTTTAACCAGAATTATTGTTTTATTTTGCATGTCTGCTATGGCAGAAAAGGAATCAAATAAGTTGGGATATGATATTATTTTAAAAGATAAAATAATATATTTCATGTCAAATAAATTATCTTAAAATATTCTTGTAACTGCTACATTTAGGTGTACGAGTACATCCAAACGCGATTGTACATTACTGAACTTAATAAAATCACATTTACGCCTTGGGTGTGCTGAGAGGAACGTCTCCCCACTAATAAATTGATAACAAAGTGAGATATAGCGCGCAATTGCTTTTTATGAAGCCGTCACTGTTCTTCTTGTTAATTCACAATACCCAACAAAAATTTAAGCCGAATCTGTATAAGTGTTCTATCGGACAAGAATAAAAACGCACGACGACACACATTTATGGCCTAATTCACAAAGCATCTTTAAATTTACCCACATATAAAACCTTAAAGATAGAAACGTCATTGTAATGAATCCAATAGAGTTGGGCGATATTTTAATCTTGGTAAACGACATTCTTCACATATTTATCTATCAATGTCATAATGCTTTTCAAAACAATATTAACAAATATTTAATTTGGTAATGAATTGAAGAAACGTAACCTCGTTTATTTGAATTTTAAGTAATCACTGTAACAATTCAAAGTTACGCCTATCGTCCAACTCTACTTTATTTCTGAATTAACGTTTCTATATTTGATTTACACGTAGGTATAACTATTTAAAAATGCTTTGTAAGTATGGATGTAAATGTATTTGTGAAAGCTATCCCTCAAGAACCTAGGTAAAATTGCGTCTAACATCAGATGAACACAAGCTCTAGTAAGGTCAGTACTACTGCCTCTTGTATCTTTCATTATCGATATATGCATCATCGATATAGCAGTGCCCTAAAATGAATAAGATTTATGAAAATATGAGAACAAAAATGAGCAGGAAAATGGCATGGCATGCGGCTTATAGATCTACAAATACATTAGCTGTAACAGCATCAATTAAGTTATTGGTATTCTAGAGAAGAGAGTGGCTATGGATGAAAGAAGGGTCAGTACAAAAACGAAGATAGACAGATCACCAAAAGGTGCTGCCGTCAGATACTGAAAAATTAAGAAGGATAATGGCGAGTCCCTAATACAGAACACGAGGCGAAATAACCTTAGCAGTTGAAGCCGATGACACAAAAAAAAAAAAAAAAAAAAAAAAAAAACTATCCATGCGAACTGAACCTCGAAGGCGGGTCCCAGTATGGTTATTTTATTATGGATTGATTAACATCCACAAAAAAGGTAAAAAAAAATCTAAGTACTTTCTACCAGAACTTCAAGAAAATCAGAGTACTTTTATGGGACTGGCTAGTCTAGCTATTATAAGGATAATGATGGAACATTTTAAGGAACAGGTACCTAGAATTATATATAGGATAAGAACATATCACCAACTGCACGCCCATGGCCGATGGAGGCGTGATGTTAGGTAAATTTAGTTATTTAATGATTTTGACCATTTCAAATGAAACACTTTTGGTAGTTAAGTTTTTTTGTAATGTTTTTCTATAAAAAAATAAATAAAATTTGTTTCAAATTTTATTGATATAATATTTGTTAAATATATGTGTAAATTTAAGATTTTTTTTATTTAGGTATATGTTTCAAAAATTGGTCGACTCTATTATTTATCTTTTTAAAGCTCAAATGTTTACCTAGAACATAATTTTTTGTCACGAACATACTGTGTGTGACATGAATACGAGTAAATGACAAAAAAAATGATTTAGACTTTTATCTCAGACTTAGCTCACATTTTGATTAAACAAGCATATTAACTCATTTATAATTTTAAATGTGACCAATAACAATAAGAAAATCTCAAAGGCACAAAATTATAAGCGCGACAGTTTCCTTCTGGAAAACAACTACTCCATTGGCTAATACTTCAAGAGGCAATGAATTATATCCAAAGAAAAACAACAGAGATATAACATTATAATCAATACTCTAACTTTGATTTTGCTTACTAAGGAGAACATCATCTTGGATCGGTTTGAAAGTGTGAAAAAAAAATCCATTAACGGAAATTACTCTCCAAAGCATCTGGAACTATTCATAAAGATTGTTATTTTTTTACACATCCTATGAAGAAAACGGCGATGAATTTGCTATACTGGTCGTCAAAGTCAACAGCGAGGAGATTGTCTTATAATGAAAACAATTATCTACTGTGAAAAATAAATCACATTACTTGTCAAAATTAAAAAAAAGTATCTAGTGTAGGATCGAGTATAGTAGTTTATGCAACAATAGTGGATATGATGCGATGTGGACAATCCACTCTAGTTGTACATTATATTTTTTCTACGACCATCTAACGAAAATTTACAAATTAAAAAAAATGTTTTAGGTTATTAAGACAAAATAACTAATTTTAGAATAATTTATGACTTTTAATAATTTTTAAAATAAAAATAAACGAAAAAAAAAAAGAAAAAAGTATTTCCCCATCCGAAAATTCACCACACGCGATCACCTAGTCTTTTAATATTGTTGCTTTAATACTCGTAATTAAATTTTATTTAAATTAACAAAATATTTATAATTATAGACGAAATAAAAACAGAAATGCTATTATTTATCGATTCTACACAAGAATAACCCATTTTAATGTATATTTAATCTGAATGACTACAAAATATACTGACAATTAGTTTGACAGAATTGTAACTTATTTAAAATTTTAAAAATAATAGCAGTCGGTTGATCAAAATATGAACGGTGATTGGTGGATTTAATTTTTTTGCAGTGTTCTCACTACCTAGAATGGATATGAAATATATTCGTTCAGTTAAAGGCAATAGCATATTTTTTCGTTTTGTACTATTTCCGTAGATAAAATATCCAAGTGGGTGTATTTCTTACTTTTAGATGAAGCAGGGGCTTAATGAGAACATACAGAAGTCTAAAAAAAATAAGATGATCAGTTTCTAATCTAAAATTAGAAGTAAAAAGGAAGTACTGAATACAACTAAAATCAGAAATGTATTTATTGCAATGTGATTGGATAAAATCTGCTCATAGAGATATCGGTACAAGAAGAAATCCAAGAAGATGTATATAATCCTGGTTGAGGAATTTAAGGGATTGATTTGGCTGTAGCTCAACTGAATTATTTAGGTGAATTTCAACTCCTGAAGCTGACTGAGCTTGTGTAGGGAAGGACGGCTATTATTATTATTTGCCGTGGCGCTCCATGGCGACTTAAAGGTGATTAATGGTGTCATTTGACTTGCAGGTAAGGAAACCTCACCCACCATCATCGAGACGGTAACACATAGCGATTTGTAACCTGGATGCCATATTAACAGAAATTAAATTAGTTCTAATATGTCACCCATTAAATCCTATAATGAACCATGCAAATTAATTAAAAATTCACACGGTATGTTGTAGCATTCGAAGATGCGTGTCTCTCGACTACAAAATTGCCTGTAAGTAAATACCAGTGCTCGAGAATAGTAAGGTCATGATGCTCCCAAATTCTAAGAGCAGATGGCATATTTAGATCAAAAATGAGCTTAATTCTGAAGAATAGTGTCCAAATCAATTTTTACGTCCATCATATGACACACTTTATGTGAACTAATTTTCTATAGTACGACTATATGTTTTTAAACGAATGTACCCCGTTTTATTTGAACAAAATGATTAATCTAAGTGGTAATAGATTATTTCAAAAATACTTCGCACAAAAATCGACGGGCCCTTAGAGAAAAATATGCATTATTTTCTCAAAAATCTCTCACAATGGATCTATTTAGAGAATAGCTTCAAGGATCGATGCACCTGTGGTAATATTAACTTCCGAAAATAATTATGAACAAGAAATCCTACGAATGTAAATGTTAGGTATTAATTACCTATTTATAAAACAAATTACGTTGAAAAAATGAAATGGATATAATTTTTTTTGCATTGTCGCTAATTTCACATTTTTCATAAACTCTAGCCAACTAAATGCTTTGGCATTTTGTTGATATAGTTTGGTGAAAAAACTTATAGAAGTCTTATCATAAATAAACTAATACTAGACCCTAGCGCAGAACCGACTGCAAGGAAAACTACGGTTATTAACGATGCTACTTCTCTCTCATGATGGTCAACAATTCTGAAATAAAAAACAATAAATGTAATACACTATTTACATAATATTTAAATTTAAGGTTACTACAATCAAGGTGCTTATCCAGCAAGATTACAATTGAGGAGCTCTGGAGCAAAAACAATTTTCCAATTGCACAAAAAGAACTGGTTTTCTCGTTTGTTTTGTTAGAAAATACTATTGGAGACGTCGTTAATAATACATCCTGCGCAATTATAACAAACAAAAATGGATTTGAAAGAAAGTGAAGATAGAAAGTCGGCTTAGATCCGAAAAACTAAATGTAGATTCGGTAATTCTGAAAATGAAAAATCCCTAATTCCACCTACAAAATTATCAAAATTGCACCCTCAGGTTACCAAAGTGAAAACAAACTAAAGAAAAATTTAAAAAGCGTGAGAGAACGGGAGTCGAACCTGCAACCTCTGCAATATGGGAGTGTAATTTTCATAATTTTGTATGGGAATTAGCGATTTTTTCATTTTCAGAATTTCCAAATCTAAAAATGGATTTATACAGTTTTGTTCAAATTAAAACTCAAAACTACATAACAGAAAAAACAACTCACAATAAAGAAATATCTGTTACAGACTGCATCGAACGCCGGTACGTTGTTTACACTATTATGATAGTGGATTTATTCGGTTTTGCCCGAAAACATCGAATTCGACCCTAAATTTTACAAAGATTTATCGTTTTTACTCGAACAGGTTGATGTATTTTAACAAAGTCATTTGAAATCCGCAGCTAACATATTGTTACGGAGCACTCTGCAGTAGCCTGCGGCTATTATAGGAAACGTACAGGTAGAAAAATAAGTGGAATGTTACTCATCTCCCTACAGTGTGCTGCGGTTGTCATAAGTAAAAGTACAAGTAAAAGAAGATAGAATAGTCCAGAAATGTCATTACCCGTCAAGAATATTGTAGACAACAGTTCGAGAAGGGTTCAAGCAAGCTATATAAGGATGATCCTGACGTCAGTTTTCAGTTTTATGATAGACGTTACATGTTAATGTTATTGGTTGTATAATTGTTGTTAAAGTTGAATTGAGTTATTGTAAAGTTGAATTGGAATAAATTGTGATACCAAAAACCTACTTAATATATTTTCATAAAAAGTGGATTTATTCAGTTTTGCTCCAAAACTCCTCAATTATTCACTATAAAGTATGTACAATGTGACACTGTAGATAACTATACAGTATATTCTTCATTATTCGGCCCGTACATAAGCTATGACGTCACCAGGCTCACACAGATGACGTCACATATAAAAACTATTTCACGGAACACATGTAAACATAAAAATCAATGGATTTCACAATTTTCCTCCACAGTTAGAGATAAAAAGCATAAAAATGTTTCCATTATACAAAAATCTTGATCTTTTCAAGTATTGCTGTATTACATTTTTTCTGATACATTGTTTTTTAATTTTATCTGTATCGGAGTTTAAAATACTAAAATGTGCACAGAAAACTCAAAAAAAACTTACCTAGGGGTTAAAATACTGATGAGGTTCATCAAATAACCATTTGTGAATGCAAAAACAAAACTTATTATGATGTACATATAATCTTTGTCAAACACTACAGCCAAGTAGTGTCTAGGTTGGCAATTGCATAATAATATCAAAGGAACGAATATCAATCTAGCAACTGTAAATATTGTTATTAGGGTTATGCTTTTTGGCTAAAACATAAAAAAGGAATATTAATCAATTGATGCATAACTTATTGCTATTCTTGTAATAGGTATACCTAAAATTAAGTTACTATTAATTAAAATTGTAATGAATTTTTTTTTAAAGAAAAATGAAATAAAATGTAGAGTTACCTTAAGTATTCTGCATGCAACAAGTCTTCCACTATAGTCTCCAAAATTAAACAGTAAGTATGTTATCGTTGGTACAAAATAGGTATCTGGAAAACGAAATAATAAACGTATTTTATAAGAATTAAACAAAACAGTTTATTTTTATTCTGTTTATTATTAGATGGAATTATGGAGGGAAGAAGCTCGAGTAAACGGATTTAAGAAATAGTAGGAAGAAAAATGAGTTCCTACATAGAATTCAAAAAAGGAGGAGGTTCTTAATTCGTCGGTATATTTTTTATTTTTTTTTGTATGTATTATTCTTTAATACGGTGTCCGATTTCAATGATTATTTTTTGTTAGAAAGGGGATACTTCAGGGGTGGTCCCATATAAATTTGGTCAAAATCTAATAATTTGATTCATGAGAAAAAGAAAATCCTTAAACTCTTAATTTTTTATGTATGTTTAGCGATAATTTTCTACCACCTTGTCCGATTTTTATGATTCTTTTTTTGTTAGTAAGGGGGTACCTCAGGGGTGGTCCCATATAAATTTGGTTAAGATGTAATGATGGCATCTGCACGGTTTTAAAGTCGTTTTTTTTTAAATTACTTTTAATACATGGTAACAATAGTTTCTGGCGATTACTAAATTGCAGAAGGAGATCCCAGATCGGTCCTAAACCATTTAATCAATAAGTAGAGAGAAGCAAATGGCAAAGAATGCGGAGAGGAGCATTGTTTTGTTCAGGCAGTGAAGAAAATATGCAAACAGAAATACACGTTGCTTAGCTTGCTTACATAACAGGACAAAATTGGAGATTGCTTCTATAGGCGAGAAAATGATAGGAAATAGGCTTGGGTGAATATGTTCAAAGATTAGAAAAGTACCATCTCACTAGAAAAGCGGTAGGGTTCCATGCTGAGCGAAGAAGAGGGGTTAGTAGTAATATACACATGTCAGTCCACACTTAAAGAATAAAATCGAGACAATGACGTTCCTAAAAAATAATTGACTTCGTCTTTAAATGACATGTGACGAAAATCTAATTTATTTAAAGTTTATTTATTTAAAAACACACTATTTACAATTTATTTCAGACGTACTATTTAATTTATGTAATATTTAGACACTAACTAACAATTCTAATTTATTTCTTACACTTTAACTTTAACTCGGCGCCGATACGTCGGCTATTTATATTAGTCCAACTCCGCTACTGGAAAATGCTAGAGGCTCTCGACGGTCGTCTCGAACATTTCATTCCTATGACTAAACGGTACTCTCCGCCGTTCCAGCTGTTTCTCGAGCCTCAGCCGCATTCCCAGAACATTCCCTCGCCTCGAGCACGAGTCGGTTGCAATGTGAAGGTCGAGCGTACAGAGGGTAGGCTTTAAGAAGTAAGGTAAATTTTAAAATGATTTACCTGGGAAAGTATTTTTAGTATATATTTGAGTAGGGGGGGAATAATTAAATGATTACATTAATGTGTAAACTTAAAAACTTGTTAAAAACAGGCGAGAGCTTTCGGCTTAACAAAACTATGATCATAGCCTCGTCCTGGTGACAGCTCCACAAAAAAAAAACCATTGAATATAATCAAGATTTATTAAACTTCAACTTTTTGATTATCATTGTTAACGTGTATTAACTAGGAATAGAATAATTTTTAATATTTTTACATATTTTGAATCAACGGATCAAATTTATAATAATCATGTAGTCAAATTTAATTTTGTTTTTAATTTCTAAGTTTGATTTGTGAGTTTTTGACAAAGATTCAAACAGGGCTATCGCTATTATACATAAATAAAATGGTATGAAATTTAATTGTACGTCATATTATTCTCATTTGAGAAATCCAAGTTTCTGTTAAAATAATTATCACAAATTATAAAAAACCGATTTCAAAATCGGGCAGATACCATTAAACATTGAGATTTTTGATTTGCTCATAGATCATCAGATCCTGACCAATTGTATACGGAACTAACCCTGAGGTATTCCCTTTCTAACAAAAAAGAATTATAGAAATCGGACAACGTGGTAAAGAATTATAGCTGAAAATACATCAAAAATAAAGAGTTTGATAATTTTCTCATGGACCCATTATTAGATCTTCACCAAATTTATATGAGACCACCCCTGAAGTATCCCATTTCTAACAAAAAAGAATCATGTAAATCGGACAACGTAGTAAGAATTATCGCCGAACATACATAAAAAAATATTCCGACGAATTGAGAACCTCCTCCTTTTTTGAAGTCTTAAAAAAATAGTATAAAAACTTTCAGCTTTAATAAATAAAAATTATTCAAGGGTATATGAGAAATTATTTATTAAATGAATTATCATCATTTTGGGCCATTTTCAGCCGTGAATTTTTTATAGCCTACTTATTTGTGTTTTTCTAAGTAGTAAACAAAGCTTAAACTAAAGTAAAATTAAGAATTGAATAAAAATACAGACAATAAAATACATTAAGAACACAAATGATAAACATTCACTCGCAGCCGAATTTGAAAGTTTTTTAAGGGCTTGTAAGCTTGTATTGAAAATGTCGCGCTCAGGTATAAAGCAAGCTTGAGCGGTGGATGACTTTTATAAAACCCATATTGGTGAGAAGAAATATAATTTGTATATTTGAAAAATACCTCATCAGTCAGAATACGAGTAGATTCGAATAGTTTTGGTAAGTGGAAATCAAAGAGACCCCTCTATAGTTTTTGAGATTTGACTCCCTTCTTATAAATCGGTACTAAGTTGGAGAATATAGAATGTATACATATATTGTTAATGTAATAATTAGAAATTAGAACATACTTAAACTGATCTTCATTGTTTATTAATATTACAAAATCTCATTTTACAAATATATCTAGCACTCCTAAAAATATGAATTTAAAATTAATATATGCCATTTTTTCACTATCGTTTTGAAGGTTAAAAATTTTAAATGTATCTGTTCAAATTGTATATTTTTGGTAAATTTAAATATTGTTTTACATTTTAATATTAATAAACGCTGAAATTTCCAAATATACTCCGATGCTAATAGTCCTCAATCCGTAAAAAAAAACAGTAGAGAACAGCAGTGGGATTCTCATCTTTCATATAGCATATGTCTAAACGCCTATCTTCGTTCGACATACTGCGATTATTATGTAATTTCTCTCTCTATTCAACGCGTAACGTGTTGAGTTCGCACATAAAAATCCCTGTGCTGAACTATTTACGATGATCCTTAAAAATAATGACTCAAATGCTACAAAAAAAGATTTTGATTGATACACCAATATGGTTAAAAACTTCATTTATAGATTGATCCACAACAAAGTTCTCTAAAGTAGAAAAGTAGAAAACACAAATAAGATAACTATGCACGGTTCTGAATTGAATCCAAATTGACATACATGCGTGATTTTTTCCAAGGCCTACTTTACAAGCATTTTTGTGGATCACTCCATATAATATTTGTATGAAAATCGTGACTCGTCTTTAACTATGTTATATTCATGTCTAACTGAAATATGTATATGAAATATAAGTGTTTCCTTAATATTTAAATCAGTGGCCGAAATCGAATTTTTAGTCATTTACGAGATACAGAATATTATGTATTTTATTGCCACCAAGGGTTTTAAATTTATATGCTACAACTAGATATTGAATGTTTTTTAAGAAATAATTAAATATAAGCGTATTCAACTTGTAGAAAAATAACTTTTTAAATTTTTACATTTAAAATTTCAACAAAAAATGCATTATTAAACATAATTTTATATTAAATAATGTATTTAAATGACATACATTTAGAGATTAAGAAGTTCAAAGATTAAACTTGTAGAAGTATAAGGACATTATTTATAAAACAACGAGAAGCCTTGGATGATTTTCTGATAACAATTGATGGATGATTTCTTTTGTTATTACTACAAAAGGCAAGAAATAAGAGATCAGGGACGCTTACACTGTATCAATGTAACAACAGGTTTGCATAATATCAAGAATTAAGAAAAAATATTATTGTTTCAAATATAAACTAGTTGAATATCAAGATTGTTATTACCATTTTGAAAAAAGTGTAAATGTTTAATAATCATTATGTAATAGAACTAAACAATTTGAATACATTTTGGTTCGAGTTTTTATCAGTAAAACATTAAAGGATTTATTTCACACCTTTAGAGGATTTTTCACACATACAGAATTACATACTTTGTTCCATTGTATCATCCTTGTAATTATACAGGGTGATACATGTAAGAAATATGACGACGAGGACAGAGTTGCTGTGTAATACAACACCCAACAAACTTAAGACTTTATTTATGGGACATTTATACGGAAATTAAGATAACATGATGTTAACGAATATATGCTTAGGATGGGAAAACCTGAATTATTCAAAATTGATTGGTAAACGAACCATATATTATAATACCTTTACTTTTTAAAATTAATTGTGTTGTTTTATAAAATAAAGTAGTTTAGAGCAAATGGATTGAACTGTTAAAAAATATCACATTTTAAACTGAATCAGCTTGATTTTTGAAAAAAAAAGCATGTATTTAAACGATTTTATTCTTTCCATTGGAAATGAATCATACATTGTTGGAAAGACTGAAGTTTCTACTATTTTTCTACATAATTTTAAATGAAAGAAAAGTGAAGTGAGAATAATCATTTCAGAACCGAAAAACTGAAATGCAATTTTGGAAATATGAAAATGAAAAATCCGCAATTCCCTCTGCGAAGTCATGAAAATTACAGTCATATTCCCAAAGTAAAAAAAGCAAGTGCTGGAAAAAATAATAATCAAAGATGAAAACTACGGACAGAAAATAAACATGAATAAAACAAAACTGATGAAAATAATATAAATAAAACAGAACGACAAGAATCGGAAGAATATTTGAGGAAGTAGATAATTTTAAGTACCTAGGAGTTACACTATCCCATGAAGGCGGGGAGAAAAATGAAGTTAAAGAAAAAATTATGATGACTAACTGAACCTTTCATGCCAAGAAAACAATCTTTAAAAATAAAATTATATAAAAAAAAACACAAAACTAAACATTTTTAAAACAATAATAAGGAAGTTA